CCCACAAAAAAAAAGAGAGGGGGGAGAGAGAGAGAGAGAGAGAGAGAGAGAGAGAGAGAGAGAGAGAGAGAGAGAGAAACAAGACCTTAATCACATACCTGGGCTGGAGATGTATCTTAGTTGGTAGAATGCATGGTTTGCATGCATGAGGCCCTGGGTTCCAATCCCAGCACTTCATAAACCAGATGTGGTGGTACATGTATGTAATGCTGGAACTCGGGAGAGAGAAGCAAAAGGATCAGGAATTCATAGCCATTTTCTGCTACTTAGCAAGTTTGATGCCACTCTGGGCTACACAGGTACCTGTTTTAAAAACAAACAAGCAAGCAATCATGTATCATCATCATCATGCTGAAGTAACAGTATCCTTAACATCATCTAATTCTCAGTCAGTACTAAAAATTTCCTGATTATTTCAATGTCTATTTCCCTCTTTTTTGTTTTTGTTTTGAGACAGTGTCTCATGTAGTCCAAACTGGTCTCAAACTCTCTAAGTGGCAGAAGGTGACTTTGAACTCCTGATCCTCCTGCTTCCACTTCCCAATGCTAGAATTATAGAAACACACCACCAAACCTGGCTTTTGATGTCACTTCATAATTTTTTTGTTTGATTTTTTATTTATTTTTATTTTACGTGTATGAGTGTTATGCCTGCATGTGTGTAAGTGCACCCATGTCATGCAATGCCCTAGGAAAACAGAAGAGGGTGTCAGATCCCCTGGAACTGGAGTTACAGATGATTGTTAGCTACCTTGTGGGTGCTGGGATTCTGAGCCCAGGTCTTCTGCAATAGCCAGTGCTCTTAAACACTGAGCAATCTCTCCAGCCCCGTTTACTTATTTATTTATTTATTTACTTATTTATTTTTTAAACAGGATCTCACAGTAGCCCCTATTGGCCTGGAGCTCACTATGTAGACCAGGCTGGCCTTAGTCTCACAGAGATCTGCCTGACTCTGACTCCTGAGTGCTGGGATTAAAGACTTGCACTATCATACTCAGCATTCTTTTGATTTTTAAAAAAAATTAAGTGAATTTTTTATTTATTACTTTGATTTTATGTGTATGAGTATATTGTCTACATGTATGTAATTATATCCATGTTGTGCAGTGCCCATGGAGATCAGAAGAAGGCAGTGGATCCATTGGAACTGGAGTTATAGACAGTTATTGTGCTGGATAGCCTTAGTGTCAACTTGACACACCTGGGTTGAGGGAGCCTCAGTCGGGGAATTGCCTCCATTGGACTGGCCTGTGGCCATGTCTGTGGGGCATTTTCTTGATTGTTGAGTGATGTGGGAGGTCCCAGCCCACTGTGCGTGGTGCCATTCCTGGGCAGGTGGGCCTGTGTTGGATATGAGCACAAGCTGAGCAGGGGCCAGGGGAGCAAGCCAGTAAGCAGCATTCCTCCATGGCCTGTGCTCCAGCTCCTGCTTCCAGATTCCTGCCCCGAGTTCCTACCTTGGGCTCCCTGATGAACTGTGACCTGGGAGATGCAAGATAAATAAAGCCTTTCCTCCCCAAGTTGGTAGTGGTCAGAGTATTTTGTCACAGCAATGAAGAAACAAACCAGGACAGTTATTAACCTCTATATGGGTAACTGGGATTCAAACCCAGGTCCTCTGCAAGAGCAGTCAATGTTCTTAACCGTTGAGCCATCTCTCCAGTTTGTTCCTGTTCTCTCTCCCTCCCTCCCTCCCTCCCTCCCTCCCTCCCAGAGTATTACTCTGTAGCCCAAGCTGACATGGAATTCACCTAGGCTAGCCTCAAACTCCAAATGATCTTCCAGCCTTCCAAAGTGCTGGGATTACAGATGTGAACCTGTACATGACTCAAAAATGGTTTGTTTGAATTGGAATCTAATAAAAGCCTCTCCCTCTGAAAGGCTGGGATTATAAATGTGTACTCCCTCACCTGAGGATCAAACGTGGAGCTTTGTGTATGTCAGGCAAGCACTCTACTAACCAAATTATGTCTCTAGACATATAATAGTGTGTTTCATCTTTTTTTTTAAATCAGGTGGAGTCTCACTATGTACTGGGATTACAGATGTGTGCTAGCATCTGGGATCACTATGTTTCCCAAGTACTGGGATTACAGATATGTGCTAGCACACATGACCTGTTTTACTGTTACTGAGAAAAGGCCACTTTGCTCCAGCATTTTCCTCACACTTAGTTTAGATATACTCATATGGTGTACTTTAGCAAAGGAAGGAAGTAGGGGTAGCAGGTAAGATGCAATGATGTCATTAAAGACATGGCTGACTGCAAAGTTAAGTTAGTTGGAAGTAACTACCACTGTGAGATCACGAGATGAAGAGTTTGTGGCCATATCTAGAAAAGAGTTGACATTCAAAGGTAAAGTTTTGAGCTGGGGTGGTGGCCCATACCTTTAATCTCAGCCCTTCGGAAGTGTATCTTTATATTTACAGACAAGTGTACCTCTCACCATTCATCAAAGAAACTTCTTTTACAATAGATGGAGACTATCATGAAATTCTGCAACTGTGTCAAATACAGAGAATAAGTGTCTGTGAGGTGTCTAGCTCTAAGTAGTGTTACATCTATAATGCAACCTCTACACCTAGGGTTGAGGAAACATAGAATGACAAGGGATGGAAAGAATATTAATGCATCTCTCAATTCTCACCAGTGAAGTTTCCTTATGCATCAGATGGTGATTAAACCAGAAAGCCACAATTGGCCAAAGTGCAGGAAAAAAAGACTGCAGAGTGCTTATCACCAAATAGGACATGTGTATGAAACCTTTGCCACCCAAGACTCAGAAATCATTGTGGAAGAGAGGGGCAGAAAGATTGTTAAGAGCCAGAGGTGATTGATGACCATAAGAAAACAGAGTTTTCCAGACAGCTGGGAAGTTACTCAAATGAACTTACAGCAATGGTGGCAGCACACACAAGACCCGTGCAAGATCAAGTCAGACAAAATTCCAATTCCAGCAATGGAAGTGTGTAAGAAGCTCCAACCTTAGCTAATGAACTATTGGCAACAGATAACTACTGGGAGAGGAAGAGACAGTTTTCTTCAAGTATGTGACACAAGATAGGTTAACCTGACTCCAGTGGATGAATGTACACTGAAGGACATTTGAGAACACAAATTTGACTTGATAGGCCTTAAGATATATGACAGACTACATGAAATTCAGTGAGGGACTCAAGAGGGGTTCTAAATACGATCAAAACATATTGTATGAAATTCAAAAAAAATGAATTCAAAAAAAAAAAAGAAAAAGTAAGGCTCTAATAGAGAATGACTGAAAACAGAGAGGGAAGATTATTAACAGAACCTAGAATAGAGAGATAAATTTTATAGGAGCACAGTAGAGGCACTTTATCGGAACATTGAGTTATGTTTCTCAGGCCAGTGAGATGGCTCAGCATGGGCTACATGATGAGACCTTGTCCAAAAGAAACAAAATCAGGTTGGAGAGACGGCTCAGTAGTTCAGAGCACTGACTGCTCTTACAGAGGGCCTGGGTTCAATTCCTAGCACCCACGTAGTGGCTAACAACTGTCTGTAACTCCAATTTCAGGAATCTGATATGTTCGTCTGACCTCTGCAGGCACTGCACAACATGGGTGAACTTACACTCATGCAGCCTCTGCCGGCACTGCATGATGGGTGAACTTACACACATCAAATAAAAATAAATAAATAAATTTATGAAAAAAGAGCACTGACTGCTTTTGCAGAGGACTCAGGTTTGGTTCCCAGCATCTACATGGTGGCTAACTGGCCTTGACTCCAGTTCCAGGGGATCTGATGCCCTCTTATGACCACGGAGAGCACTGCATGACATAGGTGTACTTGCATGCAGGCAATATAGTCATACACATAAAATAAAAATAATAAATAAAATATTTTTAAAAATTTGTAAGTTGCTTTTATATATCATCCTAAAATAAAAACACATTTGCAACTGGGAACGTACGTAATCTAGGTAACAATCTGAAAAAACATGGGTTCTTACTCTTTTTGGTTTTTTTCGTTCACTTGAATTGGAATATGATTACATAGCTTTGGCTGGGCTGGAACTCACTATGTCGACTGGGTTGGTCTTGAACTTAAGGTGATCTCCTGTGTCTGCTTCCCAAGTGCTGGATGATATGCATGAGTCACCACACCTGGATTCTTAGTCTTTTGGGAATTTGAGTTTAGATTGTCTTTGGAGTTGACTGAAACTCAGGAGTCAATCCTTATACCTTGAGCCTAAATTTCTAGCTATTTATAGGCAGGCTGTTAAAAGGCATAGCAAGTCTAATTTTGAAAAGGCAATGTGGGTGGAAAGCATAGGTAGAGCTTTTCAGTAAGACTTAATTATTCTTAACCTGTGAATACATAATTATATAATTTTTTATGATGAATTTTCATTTTTAGAACTCTATGGTGGGAATCATTAACGCTTATGTGAAAGTCATATAATTCTGATTTTTTATAGCTTTAAATCATCAGCTCCTAAATATATACTAATTACTGGCTGTATAATAAAGCATCTTCATTGGTACATTAAACGAATTTGAAATAAGAATGTCATTATGAAGAAAAACACTGAATGTTGAACAGTTATTTGACAAGGATACCAATAGACTATTAATATCTTGCCTGCATCGATGGGAAAAGAAGAAAGGACAAGTGGCAATGAATAGCATTTTTCCTTTTCATGGCATATATAAGGTGGAGAGGATAGCATATTGAAAACACTGATGAGGTCTGTTTAACAGCAAGCATGAAGTATGTCTGGGGAGACCTACTTCTGATATTAGGCAGTTGAAAAATGCTTTTTTCTTATAAAATAGTATTGAATCTGTTTCAATAATTGCTATGGTTTTAGACTTTAGCAAATATTGGCTGAGGATTTAGCTCAGTTGGTACATTGTTTGCATAGCCTGTGTGAAGCCTTGGGTTCAGTCCCCAGCACCATATAATGCATGTGTGGTGCCCCATGCTTGCAATCCCAGCACTCCGGAAGTGGAAGCAGAGGGATCAGGAGGTCAAGGTCACTCTCAGCTTCACAGTGAGTTTGAAAGCAACATGGACACATGAGATCTGTCTCAAAATAAAATGAAGAGATTTCTGCAAACACCACTTCCAATGCTTTCCATTTATGCTTAATGTGCAGACCTTTCATTTGGGATCTTATTTCTTTATATTTTTTCTTTAATGCCTTCTATTTTGTTGCTAACTTTGCTTCAAGTTCTGGTTTTGGCTTGCTTGAAAATTTTTATTTTTGTTGTACTAGGCTTATTTATTTATTGCAGTATTGGGTGATGAACTGAGG